AATCAATGACTTATTCATTGCAAATACATTTTATAAGAGACACGTATGAACTAATATACATAATAATATAGAAAAGTTACAAAGCACTATTTTTGCTCCTTTCACTGAACCTCAGAAGAATCACCTTTTTAATTCCGCACTTTATTTCAGAGAATAGGGTCACCTCTCTCCCTCTTTGTATTAAGTACTTTTGGACGCATCCAGGTCTGATTACAGACACCTTTAGTTTCTGTACAGAACTATTAGGCTGGGTAACATCTGGAATACTAGGTCTTTTCTTAGACCAAGAATGAACTTGCCTAGGCATGTCTACATTGCGTTTGTCCCTAGTTAGATGAGTCCTCAGTTCGCTCTGATTCACAGAAACCTACTCAAAGTTATAAACAGCACAAAGTTGTGAGAACTGAAACTCAACATTTGTTAACTTGGGACTGGGCATGAAAAATTAATTCATAGTAATAGGGAATAGAATCCTACTTGGTGTGCTAACTGCTACAAGAATGGCATCCACACGGAATGAGAGAGGGAGATGGAGGAAAAGCTTGAAGGGGGCATCTGCTTAAACTTTCACCCAGGTTACACTCACTGATCTTGAGATTTCAGAGACAGTGCGATTGGCACAGGATAGAGCAGGGTTTAGGGTTGCTGTACATAGGGTCGCTATGAGTCGCAAGCGACTCCACGGCGCATAACAACAACAAACTTTAGTGTCTGTTTCCTCACGAATAAAAGGGAGGCACGGAGATTCAGACACTGGATTACTACTAGTAAAAAGTGCAGTTAGAACAATATACATTTCCGGAGTGCCGAGTTAACTCACTGGCACTTTGCGTGAAGCTGTTCCTTCAGACTTGCAACACAGTAATTTAATTTGCTGACCAAATGGCGCCTCTAACGAGTTAAAAGTTGCATGCAAGTTCAACCATTTCTGATCAGGTTATTCAGCAGAATTCGCCAAAGCCCAGCCCAGGACAGCCCACTCCAGATGACAAAGGCTCCGACAGCCCGGAAGAGACGTGAGGCCGTCAGGACGGCCTTGCCTTCCGCTCCCACGTGACCGTACGTGCGGGGGCGCGCCCGCTCGACCCGCGCTCGAGGCTGCTCTGGCTGCACCGGCTGCCGAAGGTGGGATCCCCGGGTCGGGACGAGGGAGGGGCGTGGCTTCCTCGCTCGGCGGGCGTCCACTACACATGCCCCTCCCTCATCGGCTGCAGGCTCCGCGCGCCAAAATCAAACTCCGAGGCCCGCCTGTGGGGTATCAGTCACCGGGTTGTCTGCAGCCCTCGGGTTCTTCTGGATCCGGAGGCTGCGCGAGTCCCAGCGCACACATCTATCTGCGGCCACCCCCCCCCAATCCTCTGTGCTTAACGCGCTCGGGGGTCTCGAAAAAACGACAGCATGGCTACCCCGCCCAAGAGAAGCTGCCCGTCGCCTGCGACCAGCTCTGAGGGCACCCGCATCAAGAAAATCTCCATCGAAGGGAACATCGGTAAGTAGTTCACTGAATGTGGGACCCAAGGCTGGGGAAAGTAGGGCGGCTGCGCTGCAGGGACACCGCTTTGCTTTCACCTCTCTGCTGCTTCTGTTTAAGGGCTCTGTCGACGCTGCCTCAGCCTCCCCTTCCCGCCGAAAGTGTCCGCCCCCGCCCGATCCCGCGTCCTTGTTCCGGGCGAGCACCGAGACCTCTGGGCTCCGTGGGCGTCTTTCAGGGTCTTGTTGGGAACCAAGGAAAGAGTTCGTGTTTGTTTTGTTTTGGGTTCCCCCCCCCCCCAGATTCTTTTTGGATTTAAATAAGTGAAATTCACCTTATTTAGGCGTACTCTTCTATGGGCTGTAACTGTAATGAAAATAATGTTTACATTCCCTCACAAAGTTCCCTAAAGCTGCTTCATTGTCAGTCAGCCTAGTCCCTTGGCAGCTACTGATCGGAATTTTAAACATTTACCGGCAGGTAATTGGGAGCTGTGGTGGCCTAGTGGCAAGAAGCTGCTCTGCAATCTCAAAGGCACGCTGTTCGAGGTCACCAGCTGATTCCCTGGAGAAGGCTGGGCAATCTCCTTCCGTGCAATTAATTTCCTCTGGAAACCTGCCAGAGGGTCCCCTATGGGTCAGTTCCGACTCGACCGTACACCACCACCACCGCAATCACAGTCTCTACTCATGGAGGCTCATAGAATTTTTAAACCTGACCTAGTTGTTAAACCAGTGTGCTATGGAGTCGCAGCCAATTTATAAACTGACCCTCCATCGGGTTTTCAGAGGCTATATAGATGGTTATGGAGGAGATTGCCCATCTGTTTTTCCCATCTAGCAACTGGTCGGTTTGAACCACATTTCTTTGTATTGGCCGTGCAACTCTACCTATTAGACCACCAGAGCTCTCTAAAGCTAAAAGCCACACCTTTCTTACAAGGTATCTCTGGGTTGGGTAAGCCTCTAACTGCCAATCTTTCCTTACTCAGTTGTTTAATTGGTTGCACCGCTCAGATTTCTATTGCCTTTTCTAGAATGAATGAAATAGTTTCCTCTCATGGATTCTAGAGTCTAGATGCTCCAATTCTTATGTAAAATGGTATAATATTTGCATAAAACTTACACATATATATTCTTACATTTTCAACCTCGAGAACAGTAGGTCTGAACCTTTCCCTTTTCTGCGCCATAGTCACAATCTCCGATACGATTGAAGCCATGGATAGTCACTGTGTTAGTCCATCTTCCTTTTTACGTGACCCTCCCCCTTTGCCATCATGATCCTTTTTCCAAGGACTGGCCCCTCCTGACAACATGACCTTGCTTTTTTTTTTTTTTTAATTGAGATTTTAAAAATTGTTACTATTTTGTGTGTATGTACTTAAAATAGATCTGACTGGTACAGGAAGAGATTATCCCGCCTTCTCCAGCGGAGCACCTAGTGTATTCGAACCGCTTACCTCTGGGATTGCAGTGCAGTAAATTGAGATTTTAATGAAAGTTTATAGAGAACTTGTATTTCCATTCATTAATTTATTGTTGCACATTTTCCTCCCTGAGCAGTTCTAGATTACTGATAATAGTTGTTGATTTGCCGGCGACCCTATTATGAACAAAAGGCCTGAAGCCTTTCTATAACTATCATACTGTTTCCAGAGGCATGTTGTTTAGGAAGTGGTTGCCACTCCTGCTTCCAGATAATAGTTAGTACAATGTAAATACTATTTAAATAGCATGTTGAAGGATAGTTCTGACCACTTTATTCCTTCTCTCCCAGTTCCCTAACATATTTTGTCTGTGCTTGGTTGAATCTGGAATGTGAAACTGAGCATCATAGACCAACTGCTTGATGTAGCCTTTTGTGTCTGGCTTTTGTTTGCCATCATACTGTGGGAATAATCATGTTGCTTGCATCATGAATATGTTCTTTTTTGTGTGTTGAGTAATAGACCATTGCATGATTTACATATCATGGTTTGGCCATTTCAGCAGCTATGGCTATTAGGATTGTCCCCTTTTTTTTCTTCACATCATTATTAACTTAAGCAGGCTTCTTACCCACCATCCAAGTAAACATTGTCTTATAATTTAGTGACCACTAATGTTCTATTACTTTCAAATGGGTGCAGACTACAAACATGAATGTCACTTTATAAGATACAGATGAACTTCCTGTTCTCTACTATATTGGCATACTACAAGAAACTTTTGCCAGACACTTCCTGTTTGAATGTTTTTGTTATAGGTTTGTGCTGGTCATTCATGCATACCTTTTATTTCATACATTCATAACTTTGTTTTTCCCCAAATAATTCTACTTACATATCACATTCTGAACACTTATATCCTCTTAAGAAAAGAAAGGCAAACAGAAGTTTTAACAGCATTTAAAAGAAGAGAAAAAGCCTCCCAAACTCTCAAAGAGGCCATCTTGTTTCACTGCTCCAGTATTTAAGCACTACAAGAAAGAGGCACATATAAGTAAGCCTGCCTTTTAAAAAATTTTATTATTTTTATTTTGTGTGTAGCGTCAAATCGGATCTGACCGGGACAGGAGGAGATTGTCCCTGCTTCTCCAGCAGAGCGTCTGGTGTATTTGAACCATACAGCTCTGGGATTGCAGTACAGCTTCTTGCCACTAGGCCACCAGAGCTTATCATATTTCCTCTTAGCACTATAAATGCTTTGAAATGGGATGCTTACTACTAGGATTTCTGACAATTAGTAATTAATTGTAAAAAGAGCAAGGGCTACATGGGAATAGTTATATCTGACCTTTACCAACTTCACAAAGGGGACTGTCCCCATCAATAGCATCATTAGCCAAGATCAGCTCCCACGAGGTCAGACTTGTCCCCCATGCTCCTGCACATTTTTCTACTCATCTCAGCACCAGTCTTATCAGTTTTACCTAGTCTAAAATCCAATATAATAGTTCTAATCACACAGAACGTATTGGGGAATTAAGTTAAAAGTTATATTCTAGGTTAGTAGCAGGATATAGTCAGGACAGCTTCTGAAATGTGCTCTCAAGCACCTCAGCCTTGAGTCTCATGGCTTAAGGCTAGTGTTGCAAAGTTCTCACTCCTGCCTGTATTGGTTGCTCCCCTCCCCTCAAGTTGTCCAACAAACTTGGGAAAAGGCTCTTAGCTTAGTATACGTTCTGTGCTTGGGGGGTAGCAGTTCCAGGGCCAGCCCTGTCTCACTGGCTCTCTGCTTCACCTGTGGCTGCTACTGTTAAGTCTACCTGACCTAAGAATGTCTGGTCCTGAAGGACATCCACTACATGCCTACTTTTTCCCTTGCTTATGGTGAGACAGACTTTCTTTGCTGCTGGATCCATCCAGTTTAATGATGAGGCCAGCCAATCCCCTTGTGGATTGATGAGACTAACCAATCCCCTTGTGGATAGGATAATAGGCCATATTTGCATATTCTTGCCCTTCCACATGACACAATCAAATTCAGTGTCTAAAAAAGTAATTTCAAATCATATATTCCACAGTGTTGAGGAGACTATAGCAAATGAGGAAAGTAAAGATCCACAGAAAGGGGTTCATTTATTTGTTGCTGACTCAGATTCACAGTTATTGCACCAGCAGTGGGGTTTATTAGAGAAGGAAGTTGGAGATTGGAGGAGGCAGAGAATATCACCCAATACAATTCCAGATTTTAGCCCAAGTTTCTGGACACAGTTCCCTATTAGTCCAGGCTCTGGTTTCAGTTTAGCAGTCAAATCCAAATCATTCCTCAAGATTTGCCTCAGAGCAGTTATAAGTCAGCTGCTTCTTTAAGGATCCAGTAAGAATAGCAAAAATGTCTAACTGTAGCCAGTACAAATTCAGGAAGCCCCAGATCACACCTTGCCAGAGTTTCTCCACAGAAATGCCACAGTCTCTTCACTACCATCACCAGGGTCTCTAAGTCTTACTGTCCAGTATTTGAAGCACTTTCTTTTGTCCTGCTCCCAAAGCTGTTTATCATTTGCAAGACCGTGTGTCTGCAGTTAAAGTAGTTGAAAACCAGAGGGGACTAATTGTAATGGCTAAAAAAAAAAAAAAGCCAACTTTTAGACTAACACCACACTACTTCTCTCAAATCCATTTAGGATATATCTATATCATCCATCTCTCTATCTCTCTCTCCCTGTCTTCCTCTCTCCCTCTCCCTTCTTCTCTCCCCTTTTCCCTCTCCCTCTCTCCCTTTCCATCCATCCATATCATTTTCATACAAGCATTTTTAATCTTCTGAGCCCTTGAAATAATTTTGCAATAGGTCACTCTATCTCTAGTCTGTCAGCTACATCTAGATCAGCCTTTCTATATTCAGATGTAATACTACTAATCTTACAATTCTTCACAGACTTCCCCATTACCTACGCTGAAGCAGGAGTTTGTAAACTCCGTTCTCTCTTAGATGGCCTGTATTTACATACTATTGACCTATATATAACTTTGAAATGGGCTGTCTGGTGGCCTAGTGGTTAGAAACAGCACTGCAGTCCCAAAGGCATGCAATGCAGTTTGAATCTACCTGACCAGTTGTTCCTCGGAAGAAGGATGATCTCCTGTGCAATTAACTGTTTCTGAAAACTCACTGAAAGGTAATCTCTGACTTGATGGCAGACAACAATAGTATAACTTTTGAAAACATTTTTTCGTTAGTTGGCAACATGTGAAAATTGTGATTTTCCCCCCCAACATCTAGAGTCTTCATTTCTGTTGAACCATTGGAGAATCTGGTAACTGTTGATGATTGCTCGTGCCTGCCTTCAGAGCCATGCTTTCTACCTCATTCACTTGTGTCTCATCCTTGCTCCAATGCTACAAGTGTCTAGATTTGGGAGTCTTTAAAACCGTTACACCAAAACCCATACTCACTGCCACTAAGTAGATTCCAACTCAAAGCTTTCCCATCTGTTGGCTTTCTAAGGCTGAAAATCATCATAGGAGATTGTCTGTCTTTCTCAAGAGAGCCTGGCAGATTCCAGCTGTGACTCTTTGGTTAGCAATATAA